GGGGCGGCGTGTAGAGGAACAGCTTGTTACAGATAGGTTGTCCACTTCGCAATGTATTTCTGGTTTAATTTTGGTCCGTGCCAGCTGCTTCTGCAGCACAGCTTCTGCACGCACAGTTCAGAAGGAACGTCCAAGAGAAAATGAGTACTTGGGAAGGCAGATTGCTGCACCCATCACTTAGTCGAATGTCTGCTGAAAACTTCAGCATTATTGGACATAAGTGTTTCGAGGGAAATCAGCTGCTACTACTGCACGAGGCTTTGAATAAGCTGTTAGAAATTACGCACAGTACTAAAAGGAAGGGTGCAAAATATAAACATCTCTAATTTTAAAGGCTATTTTGCAGGTTTTTTTCTCACCCATTTCTAGTGGTGATGCCAAAATATAGTCTTAAATAAATTCACAGATCCCCAAGTTTGGGCAGCTACTCAATTTTATCTAAATTTTGCTCACATTTTGCGATCTGGAACTTGCGCTTTAGTTTTAAGAATCTCACTTTTGAGCAGTCTTTGAGGAATTTGGCATCTCTATTTATCCTGAATAGATTAGGCTAGATATGGGAGTTTTTAATCAGCACCCAGAACTTATCACAAGCTAGGTGTATAACAGCATAAACTTCCATCTTCCATCCCCAAATAATTTGTTTTAAAAGATAAAGTCTTGCTGAAGTTTGACTTCAGGAAAAACTTCTTCACCTTGTGCCCACTCCATCCTTGTGAACGTGAGAAAGGCAAGTCTTAAAGCATAAAGAAATCGAGTCAGGAGGCTTTCCGGTAAGGATCAAACCTTTCACAGCCCCATCGCTTAAATGAAGGGGTGTTAGCGGGGGAGTCTCGGAGAATTCTGGCCGGGGTGGTATCACTTTGCGGGGAGGAGAAATCATTCAGCTAGGGAGGATTTGGGTTGTCTAACTATTAATGTAAAAATCATAAATTTAATTACTAAATTTAAAATATTAAACTGTAACATAAAACATTTAAGCATTAAATGCAAAAAATGAGGGTGGTGTGTTTTTTTCCTCGCATTTTAAATTGGGGAGTTTTGATCACAGTTACTTACCCCTCACTTTATACATTGCTCACTGCAGAGTTTGAAATAAATACAGCCACCTTATTTATATCTGAGGGATGACTGGGTTGTAGTGTGTATAAAATATTAAACTGTAACATAAAACATTTAAGCATTAAATGCAAAAAATGAGGGTGGTGTGTTTTTTTCCTCGCATTTTAAATTGGGGAGTTTTGATCACAGTTACTTACCCCTCACTTTATACATTGCTCACTGCAGAGTTTGAAATAAATACAGCCACCTTATTTATATCTGAGGGATGACTGGGTTGTAGTGTGTAACAGGAATAGATGCATTTTTTTCTGCTCCATCCAGGCAAACAAGATGTAATGTTTAAAAAGTGAAGCTGACCTAAAAATAAGTGTTGGGGGTTTTAAATTTTATTTGGGGGGGGTGGGTTAAATTTTATTTTTTAGTGGTGAATTTTCCTTATTGAGGAAAGGAAAATTTTATTATTTGACATGAATGATCTAGTGATTTAAAGCCCTGACAGAATTAAATCTGACCAGGGACATCAAGGGCAACAAGAAAAGATTCTATAGGTATGTCGGGGATAAAAGGAAGACGAGGGAAAATGTGGGCCCTCTCCAGAAGGAAATGTGACGCCTGGTTACCCGGGATGTGGAGAAGGTGGAGGTACTCAATGACTTTTTTGCCTCGGTCTTCACTGGCAAGTGCTC